TAGTCATCATATTGAGCTAGCCAAACGTTCATAACGTCTGCATTTGCTCCTGCAATAGGTATGTCACCTAGCGGTGCATCAAGGACATAATTCTTCTGCGCAGCAATGAGGATAAACCTCAGATCACGGATCCAATCCGCATCATTGCTACTAACATTTTTAAACACAATTTTCTCTAGGAACATATCAAAATAAACATATGAAAGCAACATCGCAAGCTATTAATCTTACAACATAATTTGCAAAATACTACCAGGACTAAGTTCATGATAAATTTAAGTTCAATTAATCATATTACTTAAGAACTCCCACTTAGATAGAGATCCCTCTTCTCCTCTAAGTGATCACGTGATCCAAATCAACTAAACCATAACCGATCATCACGTGAGATGGAGTAGTTTTCAATGGTGAACATCACTATGTTGATCATATCTACTATATGATTCACGCTCGACCTTTCGGTCTCCGTGTTCCGAGGCCATATCTGCATATGCTAGGCTCGTCAAGTTTAACCTGAGTATTCCGCGTGTGCAAAACTGGCTTGCACCCGTTGTAGATGGACGTAGAGCTTATCACACCCGATCATCACGTGGTGTCTGGGCACGACGAACTTTGGCAACGGTGCATACTCAGGGAGAACACTTCTTGATAATTAGTGAGAGATCATCTTAAAATGCTACCGTCAAACAAAACAAAATAAGATGTATAACAGATAAACATCATATGCAATCAAAATATATGACATGATATGGCCATGATCATCTTGCGCCTTTGATCTCCATCTCCAAAGTACTGTCATGATCTCTATCGTTACCGGCACGACACCATGATCTTCATCATCTTGATCTATATCAATGTGTCGTCACATGGTCGTCTCGCCAACTATTGCTCTTGCAACTATTGCTATCGCATAGCGATAAAGTAAAGCAATTATTTGGCACTTGCATCTTATGCAACAAAGAGACAACCATAGGGCTTCTGCCAGTTGCCGATAACTTCAACAAAAATGATCATCTCATACAACAACTTATATCTCATCACGTCTTGACCATATCACATCACAACATGCCCTGCAAAAACAAGTTAGACGTCCTCTACTTTGTTGTTGCAAGTTTTACGTGGCTGCTACGGGCTGAGCAAGAACCGTTCTTGCCTACGCATCAAAACCACAACGATAGTTCGTCAAGTTAGTGTTGTTTTAACCTTCGCAAGGACCGAGCGTAGCCACACTCGGTTCAACTAAAGTTGGAGAAACAGACACCCGCTAGTCACCTGTGTGCAAAGCACGGCGGTAAAACCAGTCTCGCGTAAGCGTACGCGTAATATCGGTCTGGGCCGCTTCATCCAACAATACCGCTGAACCAAAGTATGACATGCTGGTAAGCAGTATGACTTGTATCGCCCACAACTCACTTATGTTCTACTCGTGCATATAACATCAACACATAAAACCTAGGCTCGGATGCCACTGTTGGGGAACGTAGTAATTTCAAAAATTTCCTACGCACACACAAGATCATGGTGACGTATAGCAACAAGAGGGGAGAGTGTTGTCTATATACCCTTGTAGACCGTAAGCGGAAGCGTTAGCACAACGCGGTTGATGTAGTCGTACGTCTTCACGGCCCGACCGATCAAGCACCGAAACTACGGCACCTCCGAGTTCTAGCACACGTTCAGCTCGATGACGTCCCTCGAACTCCGATCCAGCCGAGTGTCGAGGGAGAGTTCCGTCAGCACGACGGCGTGGTGACGATCTTGATGTTTTACCGTCGTAGGGCTTCGCCTAAGCACCGCTACGATATTATCGAGGTGGACTATAGTGGAGGGGGGGCACCGCACACGGCTAAGAGATCCAAGGGATCAATTGTTGTGTCCTTGGTGCTAGCCCTGCCCCTCTATTTATATGTTGAGCCCCGGGGTCGAAACTTGGAGCAAAAGCCTCCTCAAAGTCGGTTTTGCCCGAAAGGCAAGAGTCCCACTCGGACTCCAGGACCAAACGCCACAATCCTTGGCGTCTGGCCCAGACGCCATGGGCCTCGGCGTCTGGCCCAGGGCCAGACGCCAGGGTCTCCGGCGTTTGGCCCCCTGGCCTCCGTAAAACTCCTTTTGCACCGACCTAAAGCCTCATGGGCTTGACCCCTTGGCCTAACCATATCATCCAATATATGAATCTTTACGTCTCGACCATTTCGAGACTCCTCGTCATGTCCCCGATCTCATCCGGGACTCCAAACTCCTTCGGTACATCAAAACATGTAAACTCATAATATAACTGTCATCGAAACCTTAAGCGTGCGGACCCTACGGGTTCGAGAACAATGTAGACATGACCTAGAACTATTCTCGGTTAACAACCAATAGCGGAACCTGGATGCTCATATTGGCTCCTACATATTCTACGAAGATCTTTATCGGTCAAACCGCATAACAACATACGTTGTTCCCTTTGTCATCGGTATGTTACTTGCCCGAGATTCGATCGTCGGTATCCAATACCTAGTTCAATCTCATTACTGGCAAGTCTCTTTACTCGTTCCGTAATACATCATCCCACAACTAACTCATTAGTTGCAATGCTTGCAAGGCTTTAAGTGATGTGTATTACCAAGAGGGCCCAGAGATACCTCTCCGACAATCGGAGTGACAAAACCTAATCTCGAAATACGCCAACCCAACATGTACCTTTGGAGACACCTGTAGTACTCCTTTATAATCACCCAGTTACGTTGTGACGTTTGGTAGCACCCAAAGTGTTCCTCCGGTAAACGGGAGTTGCATAATCTCATAGTTACAGGAACATGTATAAGTCATGAAGAAAGCAATAGCAGAATACTAAACGATCGTGTGCTAAGCTAACAGAATGGGTCATGTCAATCACATCATTTTCCTAATGATGTGATCCCGTTAATCAAATGACAACTCATGTCTATGGTTAGGAAACATAACCATCTTTGATTAACGAGCTAGTCAAGTAGAGGCATACTAGTGACACTCTGTTTGTCTATGTATTCACACATGTATTATGTTTCCGGTTAATACAATTCTAGCATGAATAATAAACATTTATCATGATATAAGGAAATAAATAATAACTTTATTATTGCCTCTAGGGCATATTTCCTTCACCATCGGCATGCCCTTTTTGTGACCAAGCTCCAGAGACTTTAGATCACCTGTTGCTTAGGTGTGTCTTTGCCAGGCAAGTGTGGACCAAGATCGCAAGCACATGGGAGAGACCGGACTGGACGCCAACATTGGATGCAAGCCTTGTGCAATGGTGGACTGATCTGCACCCGCAAAACCATATGTGGAAGGAGACGTGGACTGTTATTACTCTAGTGCTCTGGCAGTTGTGGAAACACCGGAACGACATAGTGTTCAATGGAGCCCTGCCATCGGTTGAGGAAGTGCTTGTGAAGATCGAGTTGGAGGCACAAGATTGGAGAGCGGCCGGCCTTCTTCGGGAACGGGGTTCAGTCATCTGTATGGTAGATAGGGAGGACCTGGGTGAGTAATCCGCATGTGGATTTAAGGCTTTTATAGCCGTGGAGGGGTTTGTAAAAGGGTTTGTAAAACGGTTGGCCTTTCTTGGCCTCTTCTATCTATCTTCTCGATGCGTCAATCTTGACGTATCCCTTGAAAAAACTTCCTGCTGCTACTAAGGAGCGTACTACTTCCTATATGTTTTGACTATTGAACGTAAGAAGAAAGAAAATAGCTTGCACAATTCACAAAATAGCAGGTCTGCTTGTTTTACATTCAGCTGCAATCTTACAGAACTAGACAAGTTCACGAAATAGCAAGTTTGGCTCTTTTACATTGAATCGAAATCAGCCAGGAACAGAAGAAGTTTACAAAAATAAAGTTCCAGATTGCTGGCCCACGCACAGGTATAGCTTTCTCCTTTGTAGAATCAACAAGTTTCATAAATGTCTCCAACGAAGTTTTGGACACCATGCATTCTTGAAAAAAAAAAGTTTTGGAGACCATTATAATCATATGTGTTGAGGATATATTTTCTAATCAAGGAGCTTTGGAGAGCATTACACTCTTTTTAACCCTCTTTTTTAACATCTATAGGCCTTTTAATTGTACTGAGCAGATGAGAGCCATTAGATGTGTTCTGTGTGGTGGATATGGGCTAAATTATGCTCCTGACCTAGCAAAAGCTAAGTTAGAGGAGCATGTTACATTTGTTCGCAAGTCCTGAATTAGCTCTCAGCCCCTCTAGGTATTATTAGTAGTACCATTCTTTTATCTCACCCAATTCTTATTGTTACAAATATTGTTTTGTGAAGTGGGGACTATAGGTTCCATGGTACTACTCTGTCCATCCACCAATGTATCATACTCAAATTGCTGCAATTGAAGAATTCTGTCCCAAACATATCATTATGTTATAGATGGAATGAATTTAAATCGAGATAAACTACAAGGCATTTCATTCGGCATGAAAACAAGTCAACGGCAAGTCGAGGATTCTTCTTGTTCAAAAATGAAAATGAAAATGGAGTGCAAGCGGCAGTTTTGCTCTCCTTCGAGGGCGTTGGATTGAGGCAAGTGCAAATGCGAGATCTGACGACGTTTCATGCATGGACCTACTAAATATTAATGTGAAAATTGCAATATTAGTATTTTTACTTTAACCCACTCTATCATATTATAAATATAAAAAATTTACATCTCCTGTTGCAACGCACGGGCACTTACCTAGTAGCTTAAAAATCTGGTGTTCGCTCGTTATCAAAGTCCAGAAAAAGGTTGAAAGCGAATATGGCAGGAGTCGAGGAGAGGCACACGCATGAACAAAGAGAAGATAGAACATGGGATCCGGTTTTTTTCCTAGAGAAAGTGCAAATATGTTCATGATACAGAGAATAGGACAATCTTCAGAAATTTAATACACAATCAGGGCATCATCATCAACCTCCTCTTTCCTATGATCAGCAAGGCTGCCATGCACGCCGTACTTGATAGTTGATACACGATCAGAGCCGTCATCGCCTCCTCTCCCTGCTATGATCAGCCAAAGCCGGCGGCCACGGCAACTTGTACGGGTGAGCTGCTCCGGCGTACTTGTTTCTCTCGTGCTTGCGCTCCACTCGCATCGTGTCCAGCTCAACAGAGAACAGCCACGTCTCCTCGCTCGGTGTCAGCAGGACGTATCTAGCATTCGCGGAGACAATCATGGCTTCTTGCTGGAAGAAGCTCTCTTTGCGCCCCGGCAGCCCAAGGGTGGCCTCCGGCAACCCCAGCTGCATCTCCAGCAACCACTCATCGTCGTCGTCACTGTCGGCATGCCGCCGTGCAAAGACCTTGAGCTCGTTGTTTATCAGGCGGATGACCTGCAGCACGCCGTCCTCGCCGCCCACAACCCGAGAGACCCCTTTGTGGGATGGCCACCAGACGGCCTCCGGGAATGCGGCGATGGAGAACTCCGCCGTGGACTCATCGAGAGCAAGTACGGCGGTGTCACTTCCTTCGATTCCCCAATACATTGTGCCATTTGCACGCCCGACGAAATTTTCGGGGCGGAGCGTTGACGGGAGCTCGATGTCGCCGGTGATCGCGCTGGACACGAGGCGCCAACCGCCGTCGCTGCCGGTGGAGAAGATGCAGGCAATGGATTTGTCAAAGGCAGCGAGGACCCTGAAGTTGGACATGCTGACACGGCGGTCCGCGTCGCCGCCGTCGAGCAGGAACACGCCAAGGCGACGACGGAACACGCCAGGCCAGAGGATCCCCTGGTAGAGTCCGGTGAGCGGCTCGCAGACGATAAGATCGCCGCCATCGCATAGGATGAGAAGGCTGCCGCGGCTGTCCACGATGTCCCATGACGCGATGTCCGGGAGGAAGTCGAGGGAGAAGCGGCTGCGGTCAACGACGGCCGGCGAGGACGGGACGAAGAGAGGTTGACCGCCTTTGTCGGTGTGGTAGTCGCCGACGTGCGGTGCCTGCGGGTCGAAGCGGGCGAGGAAGCCGGGATTCGCAGCGACGCGGCACCACCGCTTGCACGCGGCCGCGGCGCGGACGAGGCACGGGGACGGGCCGAGGCGGACGAGGATGAGCTCGAAGAGATGGTCGGGGAGGTCCTGCACGGTCGTTGGTCCGGCCATTTTCTTCTTCTTTTTGGGCCTGTTCTTGCCCCGACGACGATGCCCCGCCGATGACGCCATATGCACGGGGATTGGCGGCTCTACTGGTTCGATCTGTTGCGAAATTCCTGCCCAGATAAACTACACGGCACGGCCGGCCGTTGGGCGTTGACCCGAGGTGCGCGAGAGTGCCGCGCCCTCCAAGCCCGTTTAGCCAGCGCCATCAGCGCACGCCAACGCGTCCCGCTGCGAAATTCCAGCTGGGCTAGAATAGACCGACTAGTTCTGCAAACCGAAATTCAGGGGAGCGTATCCTGTCAAGGCGAACGTTTCCTTGCCCGCAATGCTGCACGTCCATCTCAAAATGTCAGCGGTTTGAATTTTGATGTCGTAGTTAGGGACTGGGAAATATCCCCTCTCATTCCCCTGATTCGGTAGATAGTCGTCCATGTCCTGCTCGCCGCCCGGGCAGGCGTTGGCCGCGGAGGCACTCCGGCAGGCCAAGAGTGTTGAGTATATTGTGTACGTGTATATTTGTGTGTAGGGCCCACCTTCTATTTTCTCTGTATAGTTAAGGTTGTGGCCCACCTCTGTACTTATATATACGTGCCTGGTGCACCAATTAATACATTGAAATTGCACAGCCCACATCTTGTCCTTCTACATGGTATCTATCGCAGCACGATCCTAAAACCCTAAAGCCGCCGCCGCCGCCGCTACTCCCCGCCGCCGCCATCAGCCACAGCCGCCGCCACCGTCCCCTCGGTCGCCGTCGCCGCCGCTGGTAGCCGCCGCCTCTCCCCACCACCTCGCCTTCCGCCGCCGCTGCCTCTTCCCGAGGCCGTTGCCGCCGAACGCCCCCAGCTTCCGCCCTCTCTCCCGAACCCCCTCCTCCCACCCGCGTCGCCCCAGCCCCCTACCACCCGCGCTGCCACACCTCCCAACCCGCGCCGCAACCAGCACCACCCCAGCCTTCACCCACCCGCGTCGCGTCTCAAACCCTAACCCTAGCCATGAGCTCCTCCTCCTCCACCGTCTCAAACCCGTTCGCCGGTCCCGATGTCACCCTCGTCTGCGACCTCAACATCCATGAGCGTGTCCCGGTCCAGCTTGATCACACCACCGCGTCCTACTCCGCTTGGAAGCAGTATTTTTTGCTTGTGTTCCGTGAGTACCTCCTGCACGGCCACGTGGACGGCACCGTGGACTCGGCGCTCATGATCAACGACGAGGAGTGGATGATCCTCGACGCCATCATCATCCGCTGGTTCTACCTCACCATCTCCAGCGACCTCTTCCACACCGTGGTGGACGACGAGGACGACGCCTATGCGGTCTGGACCAAGCTCAACGGCCTCTTCACCGACAACCGGCTGCAGCGCAAGGTCCTACTCTACGGTGAGTTTTACGGGTGCTAGCAACTTGACTCATCCATCGATGATTTTTGCATGCGCCTCAAGAAGCTCGCCGATGAGCTCCGTGATCTCGGGGAAAAGATCGGCGACGAGCTCCTCATCAGCACCCTCTCCGGCGGCCTCAACGAGGACTTCGGGAACGCTGCCTCCAACCTCACCCTCACCCCGGAGCCCACCTTCGCTAAGGTGGTCACATACCTCAAGTTGGAGGAGCACCGGATGCGGGTGGCGCGGACTCGCGCGACCCACACCGCCCTCGTCGCCGGCACCCGCGGGGGTTCCGCCCCGCCACCGCTGCGCCCGACGCCGCCACCGGCGGCGCCCGCCTTCCCGCCAGGCTTCCCGCCCGTCCCGGCCGCCCCCTTCCCGCCACCCCAGCCGGCGGCCAATGGGGGGGGGTCATCGCGGCGGCCGTCGTGGTGGCCGCAAGCAGGGGGCGCAGGCGCTCAGGGAGGAGCACTCCGCCCACCGCAGCAGGCTTCTCAGCCGGCCCCATGGTACGCCGGCCAGAACCCATGGACCGGCGTTGTACACGCCTACTCCATGCCAGTTCCTCGGGCCCCTGCCCCGGGCATTCTCGGCACCCGGCCACAGCCACACCGGGCGTACTACGCCGCGCCGCAGCCCTACGCGGCACCCTACGGTCAGCAGCCGCCGCCAAGTGGGCCGCCGCTGCTGCCCCTGACGCCGCGCCGCCTCTCCCGCCGGCACCGTGGGACCCGACCCTGTTGGCGGATCTCGACAACACTCCTTCCCCGTCCAGCTACACCGGCGGCGGCGAATGGTACATGGATAGCGGCGCCACCGCTCACATGGCGGCGTACCCCGGTAACATCCACACCGCCCATCCTGTCCACACCTCCAACCGCATCACTGTCGGTGACGGCTCTTCTCTTCCTATCACCCATATTGGTCATACATATTTTCCATCTAACTCCACTCCCGTATCCATGTCTAATATTCTAGTTTCTCCTGAACTTATTAAAAATCTTGTTTCTGTTCGATCCGATTACCGTTGAATTTGATGAATGTGATTTTTCTGTTAAGGACGCTCGCACGCGGATGGTGCTCCACCGATGTGACAGCCCAGACGAGCTCTACCCGGTTCACTCCGCCACCTCCACCACTTCCGCCGCCCCTGTCGCTCTCGCCACCGGAGTGGATCTTTGGCATGCTCGCTTGGGTCATCCTAATCCTGCCACCCTTCGCCACATACTTCAAAGTTTTTCTTTCACGTGTAATAAGAACGAGGATCACTCATGTCATGCATGTCGCCTCGGCAAACATGCTCATCTTCCATTTAGGGCTTCTTCTTTTGTTGCATCGTACCCGTTTGAGTTAATTCACAGTGATGTCTGGACCTCTCATGTTGCCAGTAATACGGGCTTTCTTTATTATCTTGTCATACTTGACGATTTTTCGCATTATGTGTGGACCTTCCCGTTGCGCCGCAAGCCGGATGTGATATCCACTCTTGCCGCCTTCTACTCTTATGTTCTCACGCAGTTTGGTCGTCCCATTCTCGCATTGCAGACAGACAACGGGAAGGAGTTTGACAACCTCGCCGTTCGTAATCTTCTCACCACACATGGCACGATCTTTCGTCTCACTTGCCCGTACACCTCACAGCAGAACGATCGTGCTGAGCGCATCCTTCGCACTCTCAATGATTGTGTTAGGACTCTTCTCTTTCATGCCAATGTGCCTCCGCGCTTTTGGCCTGACGCTCTCGCCACCGCTTCACTCCTCATCAACATCCGCCCATGTCGTACTCGCGGGAACTTTACACCTCATCATCTTCTCTTCGGTGCACCCCCCCTCTTATGATGGACTTCGCATCTTCGGCTGCCTTTGCTACCCTAGCATCGCCGCTACTGCGCCTCATAAGCTTGCACCCCGCTCCGTCGCCTGCATCTTTCTCGGCTACCCACCTAACACTAAGTGCTATGGCTGCTATGATCCCGTCTCCCATCGTGTTTTCACCTCCCGACATGTTTACTTTGATGAGATGGTGTTTCCGTTTCAGCAGTAGGTACCTCTTGTTGTCTCGTCACCGCCGGCCACCGTCGGCCCTTTGACGACTTTGTCAGGTGGACGGTCCCGTTCGGCCCGTGGACCGCCTCCAGGCTTTGGCGGTCCTCGCGCCCTCACGCCGGCGCCCGCCCCCTTGGCCTCCTCGACCGACTTTGACGGTGCAGCTGGCGCCCCGCCTTCACCCGCCGCCCCCGACTCGGGCGCCGCGAGATCGGGCGCTGCTGGCTCGGTCGCTTCTTCAGCCGCCTCGATGCCAGCCATCTCGCCGACCCCGACACCGGCCACCTTGCCGGCCCCGACGCTGGCCTCCTCGCTGGCTACGACGCCGGCCGGCTCGCCGGCCCTGACACCGGCCGCTTCGCCGGCCCCGACGCCGATCGCCTCGCCGGTGGCTCCGACGGCGCCGCCTGGCCTAGTCACACAAGCTCGTACCGGCGTTCATCGTCCGAGCCTCCGGTACTCGAGCGACGAGTACGTCCTCGCCGTCTCCACCACGGAGCCGTCGCCTATTCTCGCGTCCGCTCGTGCCGCCCTCCGTGATCCTCACTGGCTTGCGGCGATGCAGGAAGAGTTCGATGCTCTTCAATGGAACCGCACCTGGACACTGGTTCCCCGGCCTCCTCGCGCCAACGTCATCACCGGCAAGTGGGTATTTCGCCATAAGACCCGCTCGGATGGTACTCTCGAGCACTACAAGGCTCGTTGGGTGGTTCGCGGTTTCCGCCAGCACGCTGGAGTGGATTTCACTGAGATGTTTGCCCCGGTTGTGAAACTGGGCACGATCCGTACCGTCCTCCAGCTCGCAGTGTCCCGAGGCTGGCCTGTTCATCAGATGGATGTATCCAACGCCTTTCTCCACGGTCATCTTGCGGAGCAGGTGTATTGTGAGCAACCCACCGGTTTCGTCGACGCCTCACTTCCTGGCCATGTGTGTCTGTTGTCCCGCTCTATCTACGGGCTCAAGCAGGCACCCCGCGCCTGGTACCAGCGGATCGCCGGGTTTCTTCAGACACTGGGCTTCAGCGTCACTCGCTCGGACGCTTCACTATTCGTCTATCGCCACGGTGACACCACTGCATATTTGCTCCTTTACGTCGACGACATCATCCTGACGGCCTCCTCCGCAGCTCTTCTTCAGCAGATTACTCTCCGGCTGCGTGACGAGTTTGCCATCAAGGGCTTGGGTGCTCTCCATTATTTTCTTGGTATTGAGGTCGTTCGGCGCCCGGGCGGTTTCTTTCTTCATCAGCAGAAGTATGCGCACGAGCTCCTTGAGCGTGCTGGCATGCTCAACTGTCACCCGGTTGCTACTCCTGTTGACATGAAGGCCAAGGTTTCTGCTCTTGAGGGCTCGCCAGCGTCGGATGCTCCTTTCTACCAGTCTATCGTCGGTGCTCTTCAGTATTTGACTCTCACCAGACCGGATCTTCAGTATGCTGTTCAGTAGGTGTGTCTCCACATGCACGCCCCACGTGACTCCCATTGGACTCTCGTGAAGCGGATCCTTCGTTACATCTGCGGCACGATGACTCTCGGGCTGACACTCACGGCGTCCACTTCTCTGGAGATGATGGCCTACTCCGATGCAGACTAGGCTGGCTGCCCAGATACTCGTCGGTCCACCTCTGGCTA